GACGATGACTACTGATAATCCCCACCTACCCATCAACCGACTGCAGTTCGTATGACAGAAGGGATGAGTTATATCAGAAGATATCAGCTTCGCTACAATAAATTAGATGCTCAGGTGGGTCTATAACAGCAGGCAACTTTAACGCTCAAGTAGAAAGAAGAGTGATTGGGAAAGGTATCTTGAAGGTGTCTACACAATATCATGTCAAAGAACTGACAACAGTGGTCGTCTATTGCAGTTTTATTCTGATATTCAATTCTATTCGGCCATCAATAAATTGAAACATAATGAGAGACACTGTTGCACTCAGTGTCCGCTGACACCAAACAAAAGATGAACAGAGATCACATTGCTATAAGCCATCGTAGGAGAGGATCGGTGGAGGATTTCTGCTTTTTCTGCAGTACCTGTTTGGACTACGATCATGCGCTAGTACGGTTACGTGTGTGTCTGTCTGACTGACTGGTCACAGAAAACAGACAGCAGTTAAACCTGTACGTGCTCGAATAGGAAATGTGGACGTGAAGTACGTCATTAGGGAGGAAATAGCAACGCATTATTCTGAACTTGACAGTAGTCTTCAACCCGAAGAAAACTGGCATGATATTCAGTCTCCTGTAGAAACAACGGTAAAAAGAGTTAGTAACCTATATCCAAAGATGAGCAAAACCCATAGGATTTCCGCAATATCGTCCTCACTGATCGATTTAAGAAGACTGATTCCAGCTGGTTGTGACAACAATGAAAAGTGAAAGCAACTTAAACGTAGATTGACCGAGAGGCTTGGTAATAATTACTGACATTGGTAGGTGGCAAAAGCAGGCGAGAGATGGAGAAATCATTAGCATTAAGTTATACCCCCCCCCCCTATTATTTAGGCTTGTTAGGGATACTGGGAATAAGAAGACGATGATGATTGAAAAACCATCAATAGAAAGGATGGGACGATGACGTCTCGTAACAGACGGCTAGAAAGTTCTACTGACCCATAGCACTATCCAGCATCCAGCCCAAACCTGAATGGGACGTAGATTCCTGCCCTATTACTCCCCTCGTAGTTGAAAAGCTTATTTCAAGCCAGTAACTATGCAAAGATGAAGGACCTGGTGGATTGACACCAGAATCATCTAAGGATATAGCTAGTAAATTATTCAACAGACTAACAGAGGAACTGGATAATGTATAGGAATCAGACAGAGGTCGTCTTGTTAGACTGGTCTTCCTCATTGATCATTCCAGTCTATGAGAAAGTAGAAGAGTCTTCTTGACATAATCATCGAGGGATCGGTTTGATTGACATTGTATCGAAATTTTCTGGGTGCAAAGTTATCCAACGCTTTACTGGAGCTCTACAACAGCAAACTCACGAAAACCAGGCAGGTTCCAGACCTAGACGGGAGTGCACAGCTCAGTTTTTGACCCTCTGACAGGTTTTGAAATACAGTCTTGCTTACCGACTTGTGACAATTGCCACATTTCTTGACCTGAAGTCATTATTTGACTCTGTCGACCGAGAGGTGCTGTGGCAGTGTCTGACAGTGAATGAAGTACTGAGTGAGAATGTAAAGCTTATCAAAGCTCTCTACTCGAAATCACGCAGCTGTGTTAAAGCTTATAAAACGTCACGATCTAAGATGACGAAAAGCAGTGGTATCTGCTTGGAGAGCTCATCATCACTGGTTCCTGTTCAACTTCGTTTGACTTCACAGGGATTGATCTACTCCCTAAACGATATCTGATTGATTTGGAGCACGAAGACAACATTGTCCTGCAGAGTCTTCTGAACACGTTGAGCAGAAATCTGAGTATTTTTGTCAAATTTAAGAGAATACCTTAGGACTGGTCTGCAACTACTCTCAGTTTAATGATAGGGAGTGAAGCGGTAGAATGCGTCAACTACTTCACTTACTTGGGGATTTGTATCAGCTCGAACGGACTGGTTGCTGAAGATATTTTAGCTCAGGTACAGAAGATCTGTTCCGCATTTGCCAACTAGCGACATCCCTAGCGCCAGAGAGATAGCTGACTATCTATCGAGGGATGAGTATACTGCGCTCCAGTCTGTTCTATCCTGTAATACGGCTGTAAGACATGACCGTTAAAAGTAGAAGAAATGAAGTGGTTACAGGTTTTTAACTACAGACGTCTTCGTAGCATTTCTTGCTTTTGGTGGGATCACCGTGTGAGCAATGTAAATCAAAGGAGGTTGTGAAACCTCACCGGTTGAAGTATCTTGAATATGCGTTGCACATTCTGAGCCATCACCTACCCTAAAGTATTGGGTTTAAAAAGGATCATGGTCACCAGACCAGGACGTGGTATCAATTCATGAAGTCTCTGACTGTTAGTCTGAGCCGTCTAAAGAGGTGTAGACTGCTTAGCTGGGGCCTTTGAGACGATGGCAAACAATAGTTGTAGATCCTTGATGACAAGGAAGGACGTCAGTCACAATGCTGCAGATTTACTAACTAATGACGTCTTTAAAACTTGAACCTTTTCACTAACCTTCATTTTCAAATTTGTTTTGCGTTCATATATCTTAATCTGCTTTGGTATCGCTCTTTCTCTACTCACTTGTTGTTTACATGCTGCTGTGAAGTGTGGCAGCTGGAACCGATGCACTTGTGTGAGACGTTCGACGTTGATTTTGTCTGGCTGTATTATTACGTTCCATGTCATTAGAACACAAACACTGTGAATGTCTATATAGGTTACGACAAAATTTTCCAGTTGAGCAATAATTTTGTTTAAGTGTAAATAGATAAGCATATTATAAGTGGATGTTTTAACTCAACATTTAGCACGACAAACTATTTACTTTATAATCAAGTTTTTGTTCAAGTGTGACATACAGGAGGAAATGAAAACCTACTTACTGCACTAGCAATATTCTAAAGATGCGACACAGATAAAGTACAATCTCTACTCTTTAGATAAATGAGTCAGACTACCACTAAACATCTACAACTGATACAAACTTATAGAAATAAGGATATTTACTTCAGCCAGTGACCTAGCTAATAGAATAAAACATGAATTGTTTGCACAAAAACATGTTTCATCTATCTTTGTATATTCTACTCAGTTTCAACAACCACGTTATAATTATTCTTTTATCATCTTTTGGAGTTAAACATATTTCTGTATCAATCAGTTGTTATGACTTAGGAATACTGTTGATACTGGGTGATGATTGAAGGTGAAATGAAAACCTGGGTCGCTGCAGTATTCAAACGAATGGGATCCAGGTTACAGGCCCTATGCTTTAAGAATGTTGAAAAAATTCTGTTAACCAAATTATGCACTAATTATACAATAACTACATTGTTTGGTACTTAAAAAAACATTTTTCAAATCATCATAAAAGGTTATAGGTTTGCTTCAGTAACTTTCTAAGAACAATAAACCTGACATTATTTTTCATAGCATTTAGTAATACTGTTTTAATAGATGCCATTTTTTTTAAGGTAAGACGCAATATTCTATTTCATTTAGACATAGAATGTAAACGGTAACATTTCCATTTTTCTAAGGTCTTTTAAAATCCTTTTAATTATTAGCTGGTTTAATGTAAATTACTGCTCTGCTCAGTGAGCAGTAACTGAATGCTGTGGTATTCACAGCGAATTCTGAAGGTCCTCAGTTAATTCTTTTATGCGATTATGATTATGTATTATATTAGGACGAAATTGCTGTTTCATACTAAGTTTAACGGCCTGCAGTTGGTCTCAATCCTTCAATAAAAAATTAATTTGGACTCAACCATTTAAGGCGAAATTAGTAAGTAATAGTCATCGAGATGAAAAACAGTTTGTCATTCATCAAGAAAGAAAGTTACCTTAAAACTGAATAGTTGTCAGCATTTCTGAGAGAAGTATCTTCTGACGATCTACATATTAAGAAATCATTATTGTCGAAAACTGTTCCTGTTGACTCCGCACTCTGAGATGAATGTACATTTTCTGATTGGAAAGAATCAGAAAAAGTAGCACTTTCATCATTGCTAATTGATGATTCTAATTGATTGAACTTTGATGGTATTTGGCGTTGTTTTTCCCTGTATTTTTCACCAGTTTGCCAACACAAAGACTGTTTTAAATCTAACCAATGCTGTTGTGGTCCGATTACTGAACCTGGTCGACAAATACGAATCCAACCAATTACTTCACGTGAAGTTAGTTTATAATGTTTCATTATATAACATCCAATTAGTGTACCAGTGCGTCCTAAACCAGCTGAGATACGATTTACGAAAAGAAGAATCAGTTGAAATAAGTTGAATTGTTTAAATGTATAGAGGAAGTTTTCAAACTATGAAAACATTGTCACGACTTGCTATATCACGCCACTTGCATACGGTGTGTTCATTAGTTTCACAAGAATAAAATAGTTATCAACTAGACCTTTTGAAGTAGATACAAAACTAGAATTTAAGTCTATAACCCTACATAGAATATCATTTATGCATTTTTTACAGTGGTAAGTTTCTATTCAGTGTAATGAAATGTCTCCTTTAAATATCTAATAGAATAATGCACCACTTTAATCGATTTTATTGTAGTTTGATCTATTGGAACTGAAAGTTCATTCGATTGACTACACAGAAATTAAAATGTGAAGCAATAACTCTTTATCGTTATTTGATTCAAGGTACTTGAGGTACACCATAAGGTAATTAACTGACTTAACAGTAAACCATAGGAAACAACTTGTATACAATAATAAAGCTCATTGGTAACATTTTTTACCGCAGCACTAGGTGACACGGATGGAAATCTCTCAGGAAATGTCGATTCCCTTGAGGTTGCAGATGTGTCTTGCCGACTAGTGCTAAGAAGAACGAAACACAGTTCCAGAGGTTCTTGTTGATTGCCCTCAACCATCGAACTATATATGTGTATATATTAAAGTGGTGCATTATTCTATTAGATATTTAAAGGAGACATTTCATTACACTGAATAGAAACTTACCACTGTAAAAAATGCATAAATGATATTCTATGTAGGGTTATAGACTTAAATTCTAGTTTTGTATCTACTTCAAAAGGTCTAGTTGATAACTATTTTATTCTTGTGAAACTAATGAACACACCGTATGCAAGTGGCCTGATATCATTTTGAAATGGGTTGCTGTTAACTACCTATTTTCATCCTAAATAATCACTCGTTTTCGATCAATCATCTTCAAACTTTATGCTGAAAGTCACAAAAGTATCAAGAAGAAACGGTCAATTATGAGCATACTTCAGGTATTCAGGTTATGACTGAATCTGCATGGGACTGGATAACAGGCATAAACTGATTATGTAAAAACTTAGCTAATTAATGAGTTTGAGAAATTTCATCAACTGAGATAGATAACATGTATGTTATAACCAGCTACGCACCACCCATTGTAACACCCAATGTTAGCTGGAGCAGATTTAGCCTAGAAAAAGCACTAGCAGACAACAATGTCTTTTGTCGATTCATAGTTTAAATCGTCGTTATCCCAACACCATATATGTACGTATGGACTGCAGAATTTAGCGGATGGTGAAGACAAAACATACATATCCATAACCAGCTTCCCCATGTTCACTACTTCGAATTCCTGGGAAGGCGTCTGGTAATTGTAAACCCTAGGCTGAATGATTAACCGACTAGTCCAAAATCTGACGATAGGCTATGGCCACAAAAACTCAATTAGTACATGAGTTTGTCTTGCCACAGAGTACTCATAAATGTTGTTAAAGAACTTTGGAAGAAAACTAACTGATTCTCCGGTTCTGCTTGTTTTAATTTTACTCACTCATTGATGAGTGACCAGTGCGTAGCTATAGATCACTTTAACCTTCCCAACAAAATTTAATAAAACTCTACACTGTAAGGATATATGGAACGAATTTCTTGACATCGTCACTATCATCTATCATAAGGCAATCCTTTTTAAAATGTTTATATAGGAATTTTTAAATTTATATTCCTTCTTTATCTATTTTGTTTTCTTTATCTTCCACTGATCACCATCAATAACAAAAACTAATTGGTTTGCATAGAATCTTCTTTCTCTTCTCACTATGATAGAAGACAGTCGAGATGAGTCTTTATGCACTGAACAGTTTGGTTGTGGTTGTAGAGATCCGTTCGCTTTTACTGACCCCAGTGGGCAAGTTACTAACAGCCATTACTACTGTCAGGAAAATAGATTTAGTATGAAGACAGACTATATTGGGATGAGAGTTGTCATTTTTAGACAAATGATAAATTACTCCCTTCTCAAATAAAACGCTGGTGATTTGATCATCAAATTTAGTAGATAATGACTTTTCAAGAGAATATTCTTTATGCTCATTCAGGCTTGAACATACTCTGATCCGGCCAATGTTTAGTCAAAATTTAACACAGTGCTACAAAATAGCGAAAATCCTCCATTTATTCATTCTGGCAGTAGCTTATAGGAAAATGATTTATCCGCATCTACGTCTAATTTGACACCAATAGCTGCCGAAAAAGAAAGCGTCTTTACTTGTGTTTTTGACTAGTACTGACTAGAAACAAGTAACTGTAAGGAAAAAATCGTATTTGACGATCTCTGTCGTGTATTCGTAGTTTCGGGATTACAGAAATACACCGATTTCTTCCTACTAAACAAAAATTTCCGACCTGTATACTGATATCAGTCTACAGTATGGTTACGTTCAAATATTACCAGACTGATAGCCTGGGGGAAAATGCATCCATCTAATCATCTTAACTACGATTAGCAAGGGAGAGGTCCACTGGCTACTTTGATATGGGATTCAAACTTTGAAACCTTAATTTTCCAATGGGCAACGTCGTTATACAAGACGCAAAATGGTATTCCCTAAGTTTGAATCCTTATTAAGAATCACAAAAGGCTTAGGGTTAGGGTTAGGGAAAATGAATAAAAAGATACACTAGAGAAGAAAAATTATTGAGACCGGTGGTGATCAGATGAATTTTATGTAATTTCAGAAAGATTATGTCGTTTATACGTCATGACTGTTCACACAGTAGAATTCCGTGTCTGCTTAAAGTGCCCGAAGGAGAAAATAGGCAGGTTTTTTCTCTGTCCCATAGTAGATATCTCCTTTATCATATACGGTTTCTTCAGAAGTATATGTTGTGATGAAATCACAAGGCAGAATACAGTTATAAGACTGACCTCCAACTTTTCCTACCTCGAATGGAGATGCGGTACTGTTGAAATTCTGGTGGTTTACGACGAACAGTGTAGCTGAGGCTCACTGGTTTAGACACATGATTTCCAAACGATGGGTGAATGGTTCAAACACAACTCCACCTACTAAGGTTTGGGTAGCCAGGTAGTATCATTAACCCTCACACAATACGTATGGCTCATTTCTTACTGCATGAGAATGGACGAGGTTACTGAATGGATTTTGATTTTTCGATTCGTTCATTTTGCAGTCAGACTTCGACCTCGAATTAAAATCACTGTAGCCGTTTTCAGCTACACCACTATCTTGTTGTTCTCTTCGCATGTAACAACATCAATTAGCACTCGTTCTAATCTGCATTACTCTTTTGCTGCTCATGACCTTCTATCTCGATAATCATATCCAGGTAGTAGCTGTTCGCAGGAGTTTGAATATACCCTTTAAAAAGATAAGATAAACTTACTGGAAACTGCAGTCATATACTACTCTCATTTCAGTTAATTGATAATTGAACTTTCAGACACAAGCTAACAGTAGTGAACCTCTGTTGATATCCCATATTTAAGATTCTCTGAGCGCCTTTTATAGTATTTTCTACACTGATATTACCTTTGATACGGGCAATACGTGGCTTAAACACCTTGTGCTTTATCTGCTTAGCTTACATCAATGTACTCAAATTTCGCACATGGAACCGGACTAACTCATATGGCAACATAGAAATTTTTGTGTGAATTGGTGTATGAAGAGAATTAGCGCATTACAAACTTATACAAAGCAGATAATCACAAAATGTTTTAATTTCTCATTAAAATGTTTTCACCGCAAGTGAAAACGTTAATTACCTTTACAATGAACAGCAATTGCTCCACGAACATTTTCACATATCTCTAAAAACCGATCCATTATCTGATCAGAGGGACAACTGCCATCGGTAAAAAATAGATCATAATGAGCAAATCCAGCGTTGATGAAACGTTTAGCATCATAAAGTTTCTTATTCAGTCGAATTATAGTGCTAACATTATGCTTACGAAAATATGGGATATACGCCTCTGGTGAATGTAGAGGATAACCTACAGAAAAGATTAACAAGGTATGATATATATAATGCAGTCCAGTATGTTTAGAAAAGTACTAACAAAACTTTTAGAACTTGAAATAAGATTATTGGGTTGCATTACAGGTTTCGCTCTTTTTAGTCAGTCTATCAAATATCTTAAAATTCACGTGTTGGTTAATCACTTTGTACAGAATAAGGCATAAATAGAGTTGAAGAACTTTAAGGATGACAAAACAAGCACACGATAGCCAAGTATGATGATAATGCATATGCAAATAGCTTGATTAGTAGTTACACATACCAAGAAAAGGGCCGAAACAAACAGCGGTTAGTGTGGTTACTATTCTCCTAGAACTAAACCGGACCATCTAAACGTTTATCGTCCTGATACATTCTCCATGTTTTGTAACTGCATTACTAATCAAAGCGGGCAGACAGGATACGCTATTTTCTGAGTTAGTTGGTGTGACGACGATAGTTTCAAGATAGAATCTGCCCATACTAACTGAGCTATAGGTCACAGAAATAGGATATAACAATCACGGTGAGAAATAATCGTATTGGTACCATTCAGTTGTGTAACGCAGAAGTGCGATCAAGTGCATTACATGAATAGTTAGCAAGTTATCAATGAAATCAGTCAACTGGTCAGGTTCTAATAACCTGAACAACTAAACTATGAGACATGAAAGTATGCCAGTGTACCAATTATGAACGCGGACGCCGACCACTGAAATAGCTATTCAGCCTTCGGATAACAAAATCGAAAACTCTGAGATCACTATGATATATGTGAGCTACAGCCTATGTATGACTCTATGTGATATTTTTCATTAGTTCACAATGATTTCTATTCAAAAGTTGTAACTGAAAGATTTTCAATAAACGTTCTTTTGAATTCATAGCTGGGTGTTCAAAACTGATAAATTGAGCATCATGTGAATAATTTTTGTCTTATCTTGCTTCCGTCCTCGACCTTCACTTTTATTTTATATGCATCAGTTAACCTAAGGTTTTCACCATCCCCCCCCTCCCCTCAGGACTTCCTATCTTACATCTGATTTCGCATCCATTAATCCCTAGATTTATTCTTTATCTAAACTTATAGACATTCAAACCAAGTTGGGATTCGATGGTTTGCAAGAATTATTCACACTTTTTACAAATAAATCATTGCATGACTTGAACCCAGAAGTTAATTAACTATGTATGTAACACACTTCATGAGGGTATACTTTTAGTGTAAGGAGAAAACATTGTACTCTGATACCGTTTTCTTTTCTCAGTGATACAATGAATGGGTCTTGCATAGCTTACCAAAATGCATCAAATATGAAATAAGTGATAAAAAGAGTCTATTTTCACTCGATCCTATAGCAGTCAAGATGATTGTGTATTTCTGAAAATCTTAAATGACAACCAACTTACATTCAACCCCTTGTAACCAATATCATCACCTCATAAATGGGTATTGAAGAAGTGATTACTCATGTTCCATTGTACTTTTTATGATGAACAAATTAAATGGATATACCAAATGAATACAATTCCAGAACAATTTGATACTTCGTCAATTCCGTTAAAATACTTTCGCAGTACTGACTGACAAAAGAATTAAAAATCAGTCTATAAAATAACTAATCAAACCAAATCACTTCTCATAGTCACTTTAAGTGACGAAATAGAGCCAAAAGTATATGTGCTTATAAGTTAGCAAGAAAACTGTTGGTGTTTACTGTAGGTGCTGAGTGTCATCAATGCCCATCCCTTTGTTGGCAGAGAATTGTGGTATTTCTTCGTAGACAAAAAGTTAGACAGAAGCTCACAAGTTTGTTCAGGATTGATCCGTTGGTATAACGATAAAAAGTACTTCAAATTACTATCACGTGGAATTAATATCACAGTATTGGCGATCAAATCATGTTTATCTTACAGAAAGAATAAAATTTACTGTATCTCAGAAATAAATCAAGTATAAATTGACAGAAAAGTATACAAAAGCCTTTTTAAAAAATATGGTTTTGAGCTTCGAAATTATGATAAGATATTGATTTTAGTAAACTGTATTTGGTCAAATAAGGGGAGGGGATGACGTAGCAAATGTCTAGAAAGGAAGGTTGGAATTCCAAAGGAATTTAATTCACAGCTCAATATGAGCAGATGGTTTTTCGACTATAGTTTTTGTCGACAGAATTTTCGATAATCAGTCAGTTTCTATCATATAACATTTCGATAGGTTTTTATTGGAACAGAAACACTAAGTTGGTTAGTTAGAATAAGCAAATTGAAGTGAGAGCGGAACTGGGTCAACCGATAGTCTGGAAAGAGGTAGTTCAAACCTGTTATCATAGTCTGAATTAAGATCATGACTCCATAGAGAGCCCATAAATGTATCAACTAAAACCAATGTAAATAGACTGATACAATGATGAAAACGCTATTGTATAAATGATGTCAATCGCAATTTGATTTGAAACAGTTCAAAATCGTACAAGCGACATACCGTTTTCCACCTTGGTTTGCGAATGAGGTCCACAAAATGCAATAAATTTGTTTGGTATTATCCATGAAAGATCACCGTTTTCTACTTTCTGTAATGAAGAATATTGGTAAACGAACAACAGGTCAACCAAAAACTTACTTCAAAGTGTTCATATTCTTCTAAGTTGAATGTTTCGAAATCAAGAAACTTATTGAGTACTGCCTAAAAGGCAAAAGCAGCAGAATAATGAACGTTAGTCAATTCAGTACTTATAACAAATAACCATACACGTGGAGGGATAATTTTTCTTACGAATCTAATATGTAACAAAACAATGCGATTACAGCTAACATTTTATAGAGCAATGTAAATAGTGTAGTTAGATTAATGAAACACAAACTTCACACATTTAGTTTCCTTTGACAAATTTAAACAATGTAAGAACAAAGACATTTGCAGAATAAAATGAGCTCATTTTATTTCATGGCCTTTTATCATCTGCAAACAGTCTACAATTGAATTGAAATGTTAGTAGAAGTAAATGAAGATACGAAATTCAGGATTAACAATAAGGCAGTGAGTCGAAGAAACACAAGACTAGTAATCACAATTCTTGGTCGAAATCAGTGGCAATTTATACCTGATGAGATATAAAATTCTGGAGTTGTAGAAACGGGGACAATAAGCAGACGGGAGTATAGGAGTAAGGTTGTTAAAGAGCTACTAGACCAAGTAATTATATGGAGAAGAAGCTGGAAAAACGTTAAGCTGAGTGATTAACAGTCAGTAACTTATGAACAGATTTCGCAATCAAAAACAAAGGGAACTATGTACATACAATAAGCATAAGATTATATGCAGTTACTAGGGTAAGAAAAGGTCACTTATAGTCTCTTAGCAAGTACACAGGTCAAGCTGAAAATATTTGATAGCAAGAGCCTCCGTAAACCATAATAAACGTGGTGTTCTTTGTTCGCTGATTATCCTGAAGCATTGAGAAACGTCTATTTAATGTTCTCTTTCCACCAGGTGCCTGATAATTTGGCTGGTAACAACTTCCCACCTTTCAGACACCGATTTCTCAGAATATTTTCAAAAAGTCAAGTAGATGCCGTTCTTTCACGGCTTCCAATGTACCTGTTTTCATAAATCCATATCAACTGATATAGACGTTTGGAAGTAATGTATGCTGGGTATATGTTTGTGGTTGATGAAAGGCCGTGAGATGAAATGAAGTCACTTCATTCTGAGAATGTGTTTGTTCTTGCATTATTTAAAAACCGTGTTGTATAATTTATTCAGGGTGAAGTTATCAATAAAGAGCCAAATGTGCAGCCACCTAGTCATAAAGAACATACATTTTTCAGTGTACGATTTTCTCTTTACGGAGGAATGAAATAAGTAATTAACGATTAACCAGTTGTTGTAATTATTCATGAACCAATCTACAGATTCAAACAAAAAAGTACTGTTGTACGCTTAGCATTTTTCCAGTTTATAAAGTGAACATTCAACTAATAATGTTTATGAGAAACTACTGATAGATTAATTTTATTGAACAAAACAACCAAAACTAAATTCAAGCCGATTTGTAATCATTGTGATTCCAGTGAAAAAATACACTAGCTAACTACTCATGACCACATAAGATATCCATTAATTTTAAATTACTCATGTGAAAGAGACTAGATCACAGTCCTCAAGCTATTTAGGAGAGAAGTATGATTAAAGACTTATTTGGCTTTGATGTGGTATACAACAGTAAAAGTAGAATAAGAAAACGCCTACTGAAAATTTCCGAAAAAAAATGTATTAGGAGAATCATCTGACGCTAGTTGTAAGAAGTGAAGCAAAGTTACACACATCAATTACTGGGCAGAAAACAATTGCATAGGCTTTTCCTCATTTTTAATCAACGCTTAATACAGTGATCAGTTGTACAAATTTTAATGGCGCAGAGATAGGAAAATTTCATACAGGTTCAGATACATCTTATAAATGATTTTTATCAGTATGATATATTGATAACGTTCTATCCAGTTTTCACATAATTTTTTTATATTAATCAAATTTTAATTGAATTAGTAAGAGCTAAACTGCATGCAGAAAAATATATACTACCACTAAGGACAAAATTGACCTTTGTTTCATACCATTTTTATGTTCTTTGTTGCATTTTGATAATCTAAGCTACAATTTTCAACTACACAAGTAACCGGAGGGGCAAGGACAAAAAATGCCACCAGAAATAATGGTGAGTCGAATAATACTTCCAACCTCGCGTAGTTTACTAGTCCACTAGTTACTAGCCGGTCCTAAGCCTGAATGAAGAGGGAACGTTGGGCATAGGGCTAGCAAACCTACCACGTAAAACCAATCCAATCGCTAACGAAACTTCAAAGCACAGACAAAATATAAAAAAAAAAAATTAACTTATTCCTCGCTGGAATCGGGGAGAAGAAATTACTCCGGTTGGTAAAAGCCTTCGGGAAGCCAATTTGTTGATGTGTCATCTGTTCTCTCGATCAAAGCAAACGTAAGCATATGGACATGGAATGTTCGCACAATGTTTGAAGCTAACAAGACTGCCCAGATTCCAAAAGAAATGAGGAGATATGGCATAGTAGTGATAAGAATCTGCGAAAGCAGATAAAAAGGAAGTAGACTCTACAAACTGTAAACTGGAGACTCAATAATCTACTCCAATATTGTCGCCCAGAGGACAACCAAGAGCACACTCTTGGAGTGGCTAACATGATAACCCCAAGAGTAGCAAAGGCTCTCTCTCAAGCTGTGGAAACCAATCTCCTACTGCAGGATTATGAAAACAAGATTCAACTAAAAAGGAAGGAAAGTCACAATCATACATTGCTACGCTATGCACCAACAAATTAGGTAGATCAGGAGAAGGAAGCAACTACAATCAGTATTAGACAAGACCCCACCCCAGTTGGCGATATTACAATCCATTCTCATGGGTGACATGAATGCCAAACTGGAAGCAGACAACACAAGAAGAGAACTCATCATGGGTCGAGAAGCACTCAGTGAAATGATGCAGATTTCTGCACATTCAACAATGTGGTGATTAGAGGCAGTGTGTACAAACACAAGGATATTCACAAAGCGACATGGATTTCACCAGATCGACACACTAAAAATCAGATCGACTTCATTTCAATCTCAAAAAATTGGAGACGCAGCCTACTGGACACAATATCAGATCAAGAAGAGGAACAGATGTAGGTTCACACCACTGTCTAGTGCAAGGAACCTTCCAAATCAAGTTGAAAACCTTCAAAGTAGTTGGTGATAGACCACACTTCAAGTTCAACACCCAGAACAGAAACTGGAGCGTGAAACTACAAAGGACATCTTCACGGCAGCCATCAAGACAAAATGGGAGATATAGAGGAACATCCCTGAAGAAACCTGTGTGGAAGAACACTAGAACGCTTTAAAATAGATATGGAAGGAAATCTGCATAACCGTGTTGGGAAGGAAGAATAAACAAGACAAGGAATGGATCTCAACAGACACATCGAAGCTGATAGAGAAGGGACAGGGAGAGGATGACGGTGAAGCAGAAGATGAACCAGTGAAGTGCAAGGATGCACAACGAGAAGAGGAACTGAGTACAACGTACAAAACACTACACTGGACAAAGTAGTGAAAAAGGGTGCACGGAAAGACAAAAGACACTTCTACGACACATTGGCAGGTGAAGCAGAACAGGCTGCAGGTAGGAGAGACAGAGACCTGACAACACTATATCAAATAACCAGGTTACCATCTGGGAAGAGGTCGACACAGATGAGACCAGTGAAAGATAATGAAAGAAACTTAGTTACCAACAGACAGGAGAAATAAAGGAAACGATGGGCTGACCACTTCAAAAAACTCTTGAATCGACCACCACCTGCAACTCGTCCAGAAATACCACCAGCAGCCTAGTCACAGAACTCCCAATGAACATAAGCCCTCCGACAAAAGCAGAAGTAAGTCCTGATCTCCATAAAGTTGCTGAAATCCAGGAAAGCAGCAGGACCAGATGAAATTCCTCCAGGAGCACTGAAAACAGATGCAGAAACAACAGCGGACATGCTCTCACCACTACTACAGAAGGTTTGCAAGGAAG